ATGTGGGAAAAGAGACCATCCACCTCCTCGCTCCATCCTAAGAGACTGTGACACACACAGACACCTTCTCTCTTTGGAGAGTATCAAGAGAAGCAGCCTTGGTTTCCAGCAGCACCCTCTCGCCTGGGGTTACCCTGTTGCACTGGGACCGGTGACCCCATTGCCCTAGCACAGCACGGCTCAGCAGAGCTGCTCCGGGGGCAGCTCCTCATGGAACATGGGGGGCTAACATAGGCATGAGTAACTGGAAAAGCAGGATGGGAGAGCTGGTGTAGAGTGGGGGAAGAGAGGGATGGTATTGACCAAGCAAACCCCAAAGCCCAGAGCGCAGGGGAGAAAGGCTGTTGTGGAGCTGTGCGTGGAGGCCCAGCGCTGCCAGGTCAGTGACAGAGGTTCACCTGGTTCCATACATATTCATTGGCAATTAGACAAAACTTACATTTACCTAACTATACACTGCAGTGCCTGAGCCATCACCAGCCTGGAGACACAGCTAGAGCAGCTCCTGTTTGAAGAATAGTGTCTGCTTTTGGTTTCAGACTCAAACCCCAAACCAGTCTGACCAGCTGGAACCCAGTTTCAGTTACACCCTGCCTTGCTCTCTGGGTGACTTGGTGTGTAATGATCTCACTCCCAGCGCACCTCACCTGCTAGTTGCCTCTCCAGGTATCCACACACGTTGCATCCCCCTCTCCCAGCCCTCCCCAAGCCATGGGACCGCTGCTGCTGCTGTAGCAACACTGCAGTGCTCTGCCCTGAGCTACCCAGTCTGCAGATGAAACGGTGCAAGACAGCAGGCATGGGAATGGTACCTGCCCCCTCTGTGGGTCATTGCTTCTCAGACACCACTCCCAAGTCAGATAAGACAAACAATTCGGTTTTATTATCAGAGTGAGTGCACAAAAACATAAATCAAGATGTTAGGTTTATTGCATAGGTCATGGTAGGCTGTGGGAGAAACAAAGAGATGGAAGAAACGACACGAGACACATCTGAAAAGCCATGAAGCAATCTGACCAGCCCCAGGGACACTAAGGCAGATTGCCCATGCTGGGGAGAAGTGTGCAGTCAGATTGCTAGCAGGCTGTGGAGTGAGTGCACAAAAACATAAATCAAGATGTTAGGTTTATTGCATAGGTCATGGTAGGCTGTGGGAGAAACAAAGAGATGGAAGAAACGACACGAGACACATCTGAAAAGCCATGAAGCAATCTGACCAGCCCCAGGGACACTAAGGCAGATTGCCCATGCTGGGGAGAAGTGTGCAGTCAGATTGCTAGCAGGCTGTGGGCAGAGGTTTCTTCCCTTCCAGCCGAGGTACTGGCCCAACAAGGCAGTTCTCCTGGAGCTGCACTTGAGAGGAACTGAGCCGTGCCTTGAGCTGGGTACAGATTCGACAGAGCCTTCCAGAGCCACTGTGCCCCCAGCCCTGAAAGGGTCTACACATTTAAACTAAAGGCTGTACACAGATTTATGCTTCTTACACACACATGTGTGCACACA